CGTTAGACTTTCCGCTTGCTTCGTTACTTAACTTCAGGTTCTTTGATATTTTATATCATAGTTATTCTAGATTCATAGATTCATTCTTGCTAAGCACTAATGTAAATATAAATTCATCTACATTTTCAAATACCTGCGGCATTATACGGACATTTGAAGGTCGAGACCCTGGCTAGCTGGTATTGTTTCATTACTCGATTGAATGCGCAACATATTTTCTATTACAGTGCTACTTGCCGTACCGTGAACACTTCTACAGGTATTTCATTTCCTTTTGACATCTAAGTACTGTCGGTAAGATCTAAAATACACGTCTAACAAAGGCCGACCAGTCTGGCGTTCAAAATATAATGTACACAAAATTTAGCTAATTATACTTCTTAATAGAGTGATAATTCCGGACGAAATATTTTCAAGTTTCACAATTATGCACAATCGCTTTTAAAGTGATTTTTGCAAAAAAAAAGCAACATGTTCTTGAATAACTGTATTAGAACAATTTTCTGTTGTATTAGAACGTTTTCTGTTAATGTTAACGAATATTTACAAAATAAATGAAATATTTCTGAAGTCAGTTGTTTATATAAAGTGGTTGTGCAGTCAGCAAAATAATTGTCTTTTATCGCTTTAACTCAGCTTATTTAGAAATCTTCTGGTACTGAAAGGCAAAAGTTTTTAAAGTTGTTATCTATTGGCTATAAATTTCAATCTATAAATTTGAAAATAACACCATTCAACTGTGTTGTGTAATTTGCAAAAGAAAATATTCCAAAACATTATAGTGCATTGCTCGGTACTATCGTATTTCGAATTCGACAAATTGCGTTAATTCCAATGCCAAATTTTTTTTCGCAAATAATAGCTTAAACTTTTTATGCAAATAGTTCAGGCGATAATTTTTTTTTTTTTTTTTGCAAATATAGCTGACAAATTTTTGATGCTACAAGTCTACTGAGTACGAATTTGTTAACGAAAATTAGAATATCTCGGTATATTTTACATCTAACAACATAAAGAAATTTACTTTACCGTCCTTGTATTTGATCAAACCGAAGAAACTGTAGAAACTCGTGCAAAAGAGACTAACTTTCTTTAGAAATTCGATGAGTTACTGACCGACTCCTTTGTTCAACTTCATAAAACTTCCGGCTGGGAACCATGCCCACCGAGAACTCCCGGACAGTTTCACTTTCGCACACGCACTAAACGAGCATGCGCACTCAACGAGCATGCGCATTAAGAATGACAGAGGTCTGGGGTCGAAATTGCTTCGCATGCTTATTTTTTTATAGATTGCTATCAATAGACGTCACTTCCGGTAATAGCTCTTTTTTGATGGCTTGTAGAATCCTGGAGGTTGTTTTGATCTCTTGTTTTCTGGTTTGATGTCGTGAAAATAGTCAAATACAATAGTTTGAGGACTTATTTTGATATGTTTTGACTTAGCATCTGCTAGTTGTCCCCCAGTCAACCGCTTGTTTGCCCCCCAGTCAACTCCAAAAAGTCACGTGATTGATAGTAAGCAATTTGCTCCAACTTTGCTTGCAGACGGCTTTTTCTACTCTCTTCAGTCTTAATGATAATAATGTTTTTATTTAATTATTTCTAATTTAATTATTATTGAGCATGCACATGCGCCGAGTGTCTTCGTCATCTACGTCGCAAGATCACATGCAAATAAGCAAGCACGTCGGCTCAAATTTTTCCAGAGGACGTTTTGTGGCTTTATGCGTGCGCTTTATTCTTCCAGGATTTCGGAATACAATAATATGCACTCAAATTCACTATAAACATCAATGACCGGAGTTAATGGACAAAGAGTAAAGTTTCCTTTATTTGATTTCATTTTACCTAAAATAAACGTTAAGTTATTGTCTTTAGTCTTATTTTACTTTTACTCTACGAAAAATAGTCGATAGAAAAGTTGATCTTTAGGCTGAAATTTTTTTTACCTCAAAACTTAGATGAAATACAGTCACATAGATCGGTAATAAGTCAATCCAAACTATTAGTCATGCCGAGTTTTGAGAAAAAGACTGGGTCGGGTTAGTATTGCATTGCATTGTGGGACTGTTTTACGCGACGAAAATAGATGCCATCTTGGAAATGTGTCCACTAAAATACTCCCATGATGCACTGCAATGGCAACTCGACCCAGTCTTTTCCTCAACCTCGGAATATTTAATACCGTAGAATATCAGTTTATCAACACGTCCTTACATAGAGGTTTAATTAGTGACCATTGAATTATTCTATTTAGGTCAGAAAAAACTCTTGGTCTTAAGAAAAAATGTCGTGGCTGGAGTTGGAAACAGAAGCCTCTTCAGCGCAGCTCCAGGAACTGGAAAAAGCCGTCGACGACGAAGACGACCGAGGAAAAGAAACCAAAAGCCTGAAACAATGGGAAAGGTAATTGAGAAACAACCCCAGCAAAGAAATGATGCTATTTTTAGAATCGCATTTGCCATCGTTTGTTTTTCTGTACTCGCATGCGGCGCCAGCTCTAAGCTGTTTGCTCACGTTTTCTTAAAAAAAACCCACCGCATAGAGCACTATGCTGAAAAACGAATGATCAAACAATGATTCTATAAATAACATCAATGATTCTATAAATAGCATCAATGATTCTAAAAATAGCATCAATGATTCTAAAAAATATCAATGATTCTAAGAATAGCTTCAATGGTTCTGAAAATAGTATAAATGATTCTAAAAATAGCATCAATGATTCTAAGAATAGCATCAGTGATTCTAAAAATAGCATCAAAGAACGCGCATGACAAGATTCCTTCTCTTAGTTCATTTTTTCTTGGATGAGCTATTTTCAAGTGCGACAGAATATCATAAAGAATCACAGCGATACTTACGATAGCTACGATGCGGTGGTTAGTGTACCATTTCCATTTACTATGACCAATCTCGTAGAAATAACTTTGATGTTCGTTCTCGGCATACAAGATCAACAGGCCAGCGGACGTCACACACAACACAGTTAGGGCGCAACAGAAAACGAGATTCTAGAGAAATGGAAACATAGTCAACATGCTTTGGTATAATGCATGGGAGCGAGCAGGGTACGACATGTCGCAACATTGAAATGGCTTCTCATAAGAATGGTTTTTGAATGAGTGGGAAACATACGATACTGACTTACAGCACGCACAAGGTACGACATGCCGTAACATTGAAATGGTTTTCCATAACAATGGTTATCGTATATTGTGGGAAACATACGTTACTGAATTACAGCACGTACAAGGTACGACATGCCGTAACATTGAAATGGCTTCACATAACAATGGTTTTCGAATGAGTGGGAAACATACGTTACTGACTTACAGCACGTACAGGGTACGACATGCCGTAACATTGAAATAGCTTCCCATAAGAATGATTACAGCATGAGTGGGAAACATACGTTACTGACTTACAGCATGTACACGTTATGACATGCCTTAACATTGAAATGGCTTCCCATATAAGAATGATTTTACATGTATCGAATATGCAAACTTCTGTAGGAAAATAGGAAGCTATTTCTTTAAGAAATATGCAAATGTTTGCCTATTTAAGAGGTAAATTTTTCTGGATTTTTGAAGCACTCTGCAGTTTGGCAGATGGAAGCTCAAGGATATACCAGTTAAATCCTCCGCTACTGGCTTGACATCAAACTACTATGGAATAAAAATATCCTAAGTCTAATCATTTACCACCATTTTCCAGATCTTGGTAGAGCCCAGTGTATCTTGAACAGAGAAAAGATGGACAATGAAGATGATGATGGCCATCACAAACCCGATGATGTGTACTGCCAGGAACAGATCATAGCGAGTGTTGTACTTGTTGTTATAGGGGTAATAAAAAYCCTCGTTAGCCACGATCATGCAAGCAAAGGCAATGCAAGTTGTGATCTGGAAAAAATACATCAAGGTAAGGGAAAGTTTATTAATATGCCGGGGAGGGGGGCG